AATGTCAATGACGTCATCTATTCATCTGTCCTCCAATCAATCATAAGTAAAAACCAATCAAAATATGAGAATAATTCAACATGATATTATAGAAATTTTGATTGATAATCTACATGCACACTGTATGCATGCTGATTTAACCAGTGGAAGGTCTTGCAAGAGGAACATCATAAATTATGTGCAATGTACTGTTTACAGTGCCTGAGCCATAACTAATATTGCTTACAGAAATACACACATGTGCATGTATGCATTTGTTGTGGACAGTTGCATGTACATGTTTAGGAAATGTTTAGCCAGCACATTGATGTCTCCTAGGGATCACCTGCGCACGGGCTAGAAAATGCATGTGCATTTGTTGTGTATGTATCTGTTTCAGTCAGCAGGGTTGTAGCTAAGAAAATAGTCTCCTGGCTAAGATTTCCATTGAGCCGGTCACCATTTTTTGCAAGAGACCTGGAACAAAATTTCTAAATCTTCTAACTCTTTTGCAACACCTTAAATGCGGGGCTATCAAGCTCTCTGTTTACAAGATGGTGGATGCGGTACACAGAAAGAAGACACATGCTCAAAACAAGATTTTCAATTACTTAACTTGTTATAGTGGCACCGATACTCAAGGTAGTTGGGAATTTATTCCAAACATTTAATTTAGATGTTTCAGATATCGAATGGTTGTATGTGCGTAACCTAAAAACCGTTTGTTGTCATTTACTGAGTGATTGCGTGCTCAATTCCAGCCGCCGATCACCTCTTTCCCAGCCGGCAAATTTTGCTGGCAGCCAGTGCTTTGTGACAACTCTGAGTCACATGCATCGATCACCTTTTAATAAACATATAAATACAAATAGGTAGACAGAAGTGAGCAGGGATGGCACTGTGGACCTATGGCGAAAGCACCCGCCTCCCACCAGTGTGGCCTGGGTTCGATTCCAGCCCGGTGCCATAATTTATGTGGGTTGAGTTTGTTGTTGGTTCTTGCCTATCTCTCAGGGTTTTTCTCCGGGTTCTCCGGTTTTCCTGCCTCCTGAAAAACCAACACTTCAAATTCCAATTGGACCAGGATAGAGGACCTGCATAAAAACCACCTAAGGCTGATGTGGCTTTCTCTCTAAATATTGTAATTTATTTTATTAATTTCTTAATTCTGTTCAGTTCTAATTAGTGAAAATGATTAACTGCACCTCATCACCGACTTTATGTAACTTAGCAACATCACTTTCACATGTTTGGTTTGTTTGCTGTTTTAAGTATTTATTTATTTTCATTACAGACAGGAAACAAATTGTTAACTGTTCACGAGCACACAAAACAAATCAACGATATACAGATGTACAAGGATCAGAC